AAAATTGGTACAGCTCTCCATCAATCAATGACGGGGCCAACGGATTCGTTGTGGAAAGCACAAGGCTACTAATGCTGATCGAAAAAAACCTCCTGTTCACTTGAACAATCGGCTGTGGTGTTGATCTCAAGGGTGGCAGGTGCAGTCGTGAGTACAGAGATCTTTCACCCCAGCCTCCAATCACTAGTCACTAATTGTATTTTAATGACTAAGTTTAGTGTTAGTGGTTTATAGGCTGTAATAAGGATATTCACTCCAAACTTGCTGTATCCTCGACACTGTTGCCGTAACTAAGTTCCTTTGTCAGAATGAGTTGGCAAGGCTTATTTGGATGGTAATCGCATGATCATTTCGACGAAATTCATTAGAAAAATTTTCGGTTATTCACAAAGAAGCTTTTAAGTTAAACGGCATAGATAAGTGATAGCTACTTTCTTACTCGGTTTCGCAAATGGGAATGACTTCACGTTTTAATAAGTAAGTTGTATAAAAATATCTTGCTTACGTTACTTTGTTTAAGAATTTCCACTTGCTCCTCAAGTGATTTAATTCGCTGATCAACGACTTCTTGCCTTCTCTCCTGATATCTCTTTACGAGATTAGCTATGTCGTCCAGTGATTCGGGGTTCAGAGCATCCTGTTTGGCTTTAACTGCGAGACGAAGAAGGTGGGATGTTTTCTCGGATTCCTGAGCAAATTTCTCGCGTAATTCAAGTAGATGCTGCCTATTCGGGGGCTGTTACAACAAAAATACAAATAGTATTTAGGTTGACTTACTTTAATTCATAAAAAATAAGTATTTGCAAAATATATGCATATATATATATATATATATTGTTGAGTGTGGTCAATTTTTTAATTAAAGAGCACCACTTTGGTAACCCAGAGCTAATGGTAAATTCTACTAAGACATTTATTGGAGATTACAAATTGGATTCAAGATACTACAGGGCATAAACATTTTATTAAAAATTAATAAAAATAAATTCGGATTTATTGAATACCCACCATAAAAGTAACACGCCTTGAAGAGCAATGTTGTTATAAATCTGGACCTGCTTCATTGCGTGAACTTCAGAACTTAACCGAGACTTTTCACTGTCTCGTTAATGATGTCTCAGAATATGCTGAGTCAAAACCGTTTAAATTTTAGTAGATTTTGCACAATTTGGTCTTGAAACTTTGGAATTATTTTAAAATACCTTTTTAGGTAACATATTAATAAGTGAGTAGAGCATAAAATATCGTTAAATTATGGGAATTTAATAAATATTGAAATGAATTAATCAATTTATTTATTTGTATCTGCTTATTGGATAAGTTGATGCTTTCGAAATTGTCTTTATCAAGATTCAACTTTAAGAAGCATTCAAGGGTACATCTCAGATTGCACTTCACTTTGAAGCAATATAAAGCATACATTGTGATCCTTAAAGCACTTACAAATCTGGAGATCTTAACAGAGTTAAGGATTCAACAAATGAACACTTCGACTTACTTCAGAGGGTTCAGTTCTTATAAGAACTCTTTGCTTGGCCAGAAGATTCTCTCGATGCCTAAAAATTTTTGAGGAAGAGCATTAATCTTTCAGAACTGCTAATAAAAGTCCTGAAATCTCATTTTTGGCAATAAGTTCAACATGCATTGCCATTAAAACTATCGGGCCTTTACTTAGTCATTTTTAAATATAAATTAAAAGGCGTGTTGAATGATTAAATATTTTCCTCTTAATCGTAATAAACTCGTCCATAGATTTTCTAACATAAGATTTATTTCTTTAATTTTATAAATGCGCCAACTTGCATAAGAGTGGCATCAAGTTCTTTTTGAAGCTTATGTCGTTCTGCATAAAGACCATTTAAATGTAATCGAAGATTCAATAAATTGTGATGGAGTTCAGCTGCCTTGAGAATTGGAGCACTGTTTTCAGATGCCAGACGGTGCTTATGAGTTATTGGAGAAGAGGTATCAATTTGACTTGTCACATTGGAAGATATAAATAAAGAATCCTAGAAGGAAAGTTTCAGCAACTATGATCTCTTACACTTTGGGTCCGAGTATGGGCTATCCTAAGTGCAGGAAGAGATAATACATTCAAGGAACGATCGCGTTCAAATTCATTTTGTTCTCTAAAATTACCAAAATTGGAAAAAGCAAAATTTAGAAAAGGAACTTTAATCTTCTTCTAAATCGACTTACTTATCCACCGAAACAGTACCTGAAAAAAATTCACATCAAAGACTGTTAGAATAAAATTATATTTGAATATTATACAACCAATGACATAGCACAAACCTATCTTACCACTTTCCCCACCTTCACAAGTATCAGATGTGACACTTGAAAAATAAGTTGAATCTGGAGACTCTTTTCCCGATGTCAGACCTTTACTAACACTCTCTGACTGCGTTGATCCGAAGTAAAAGGTTTCATCAGAAATTCGAACGCTTTTTGAAACAGTAAACGTTCCAATTGCCTCTTTAGGGCTATCTATTTCATCCACTTTTGCAGGGTATGTGTTTAAATTTTTTTGTAAATTGTACATACCAGAGATGTGATCTTATGCGTGTAATCGACTTACAATTATAAATGATTTCCCGGTATATACTTTCAAGGTCATAAATGCTTCATCAAATAAATAATTTCAAAGTTTATTATTAAAATTTCATGTACAATTAGAATTTGACAGATTTTAGATTAAGCATTTTAAAAGCCTTGAATTTGTAGTTTTAGTAAAAAATTACGACGTAAGAGACTTTTAATTATTATACAAAGTTAATGTTGTTTGATACATTTTCAAATGATGCGTAAAGTTTTCAAAATAATTTCTCAGATGTGAAAAGGTCACATTAGAGCTTTGCATAATTGGCTCACTGCGTTTGGCGTGGTCTGTTTCTGTTGTTAATTTGTGCTTGGTGTTTTCGCAAAATATATTTTTAATGACCGACTTGCCTTAAAATTATATATATATATATATATATATATATATATTGTGTCTTTTATTATATTAATATTTAGCTTCTTTATTAATGGTTTATGTGATTAGTTTAGCACATTATTTTTAATTTTCTAGGTAGTTGGTAATGTCATCTTATGGTAGCCGTGCACACAAGGTTTCAAGCATCTATCGAAGGTAACTTGCACTATTTTTAAAATTGATGCTTTTCTAAAATATTTTTCATCATTCTTTCCTAAATCAGGGTCAATGGTCTTCTTAAAAATGGAGCTTTGAGTGCAAATGAAAAGCCGTTATGGTTCGACGTATATAAGGCTTTTCCACCAAAAATCGAGCCTACCTTTGAACGTCCGCTCCCTACTGATCTTCAAGTTCGTGAAATTCTTTATCCAGAAGATGTTGGCCGAGCGTAAGCCGATGTTTCATTTATCTAGGATTTCGATACAGCCCATTTTTCTTGCTATATTGCTTTTGTTTTTCTTGTATGCATTTCTTGATGTTAGTAAATTGTTTAATTGGCGTTAAGTGATCATCAGCTGTTACAAGTATTGGAACGCTGGAGTAATATTTTTTACAGGGAAATTTGTGAATTATATCAGATGTAGGTTCATGCTTGTTGGAATGTTTTGGGATTTTCAATTGTGCTTTAAGCCACTGGCTTGGAATGTTAAAGACAATTTCACCGGTTATTCAAGGTTCAAATGTGTCCGAAGTTAATTTAAATCTGTTTATGTTTTAATATACTTTTCGGTGAATATACAACAAGGTTTTTTAGAGGCAGCGGATCCAGTTATCTACAAGTCCTAAAGAGAATCGATCGTTTCAAATTCTCAGGCTTTTATTTCATCAGATAAAGTGAATTCTTGTAAAACATTATTATAAAAACCGGACCTTTCGACCATAAAAAATACGTTGAAAAGACGATCCTTTTTGTTTACTTTTATTTTTTTATTTGTTTTTCAGGAAATTCTTTCGAACATTTGAAAATTCATCTGAGGATCTCCATAATTTGTTCTCTCAACAAGACAACGGAACTCATCTTTCCAAGTAAGTGTGTACTTAATACTAGTTGAAGAAACTGTGTTAATTAATCTTACATCTCTTAGTTGCCAAGCTTGTTGTAAGACCAGGCATTTGTGATCTAAAATACGAACTTTTTATGTACTATTAATCATCATAAATTTTTGGGGTTGAATATTTTCTTCAAATTTTAATTTCGCCCAGCAATATTGTGTCATATGCTGACCTCTTGTCTCAACTTTCAACAGTCCATCAATGTGCTTCTCTCATCAGTTCGGCCCAGATTGACTAGGTGTCATTTCTATGGTATGCGCTCATGAAGACGGGGAGTTCTCATTCCTGGTCGCTTCCATTTTAACAGTGCACAATTGTAATCCTTGTTCCTCTTTCCTCTACTTAGATAGAGAATTAGGTCATTTTGCTCCTTATAAACCGACATTACAATTTTCATCTAAACGATTAACAGGAAATCTAACTCTGATTTGATTGAAAGTAAAACTCCAATGCAGATGACATTGCTGTATTGCGGTTGTGGAAAATATGTGCTTATTTAATTCACATTCTTGTAGGTTTATTGCCAAAGGCCGTTCAATGGGAGCTGATGAAAATATGGAGTTGTGGGAAGATGACCAGTTCATTGAAAATCTTCGAATTAGCCTTCAGAAGGACGGAATTATCTTGAGAGAAAAGAAGAAACCTCCCACCTAATCTCGTAAATTAGTCCAGACATTTGTACAAACATACATAAATTTGCAACTGCATTGCCGTCTTCTTCTCTTCGCCCAATCTAAAATATTACGGTTTCTTTAGTGCGTTTAGTGGAGTAAATTATTCATGATTTTAGGACCTTATTTTCCTTGGTACCGGTTCAGCTTACCCTTCTCCCCATAGAGGGGCTTCGGCATCTGTTCTTCGTCATAGTAACGGGACTCAATGGCTTTTTGACTGTGGTGAAGGCACCCAAATTCAGATCCAGCGATGTGCAGCAGTCAGGGCACAGAAAATCACTCGAATATTTATTTCCCATCTCCATGGAGACCATATATTTGGTTTGCCAGGTATGTTGGCTACCATCTCTGGAATGCGGGAACACGTAACTGACCCCATGGTTGTTCACTCAATTGAACCGGATAAGAACCCCGGACCTCCAGATTTGGAGATATATGGGCCTGCGGGATTGAGAAGATTCTTAAGATCATCAATCAGTTTGTCATGGTAATTTCACTGATCTATCATGCACACTTTCAATCTTCGATTTCGACTGGTTTAATTTTTTTAAAGGTCACTTCTGCACTTGACCTACGTTGTACACGAACTTCATCCTCGGCCTGATATGATAGCCAATTGCTACCCTTATTGGACAAAGATTGATCTTGACCCTGTAAGAGACAAAAGGCTGTATTTTGAGCTTGAAGGCAGGGACATCTTCCCAGATGAACATGGTATATCGCTTTGTTTAACCTTAATTTAAGTAGTTCAGAGTTCCCTGTTTGATCATGTTGAGGTTGTTAATAGTGTAGATTGCAGTTGGTTGTTCTTTTTTGTTGCTACAAAGGAAGTTTGAGAAAATGCTATTTGAATGAAAATATTTCACTTCTGTTCTGACGGGTTGGTATGGAAGTCAGAAAATTCATGACTTAGCTATATTATCAGTGTATCGTGATGGATAATCTCACCGATGTCCTCGTGTTTTGGTGGCCAGAGGCTACGGTGCCGTTGCTTAAGCCTGACCAATGGGACACTTTGTAGAATTCGAGTTTCTCACAAGGGACGTTTAGTTATTTTGCGCCTTCAATTTGCAATGAGTGCTGTAAAAGGCTTTATAAAAGGGGGTCTTCAGTTAAAAAAATCATTCAATTAAAAGACAATGGGGTTATGCAGCAGTTTGAGATATTTTCGGAGAGATTAGTGGAGTTATTCAAGAACCAGTTTTTCCGCTGTCGAATTTTCTCTTTATAAATCATAACGTTTAGAAACTCTGGGCTCGAAAGTGGCTTTATTTGTTGTTCAGGTTTCTTTCGAGACATTTTTGACAAGGCGAACGGAGTGAAAGACGATAGGAGTAATTTTGTGGCTCACGCATTTATGCTTGAACATCCGGTTCCTTGTGTCGGTTATCTCTTTTTGGAACCCTCGCCTCTACCCGCTCTCCATGCCGACAAGGCCATTGCCCTGGGGGTCAAACCAGGTCCTCTTATGGGGAAATTAAAAGCCGTGAGTTAAGACCTCAGTAATCCATAAAAAGTGATTTCTATTTCACCTAATCTACAATCTTTTTTTCCAAGGGTCAATCAGTGACATTTGAGCGCGATGGGAAACAGGTCACTGTCAGCCCCTCACAAGTTTTAGGTCCTCAGAAGCGTGGTCGTCGGATAGCAATTCTAGGAGACAGTCGCAACTCCTCTGAATTGCGACGTCTACTTCAACTTCTCTGTTATGAATCTAGAATTGGTAAAATTGATCAAAGGGGTGAGCACTTTAAAGCCAATGCCACTTGGAGACTGGATTGTCTTGTCCATGAGGCCACAGGACATTCAGGGGAACAAGGTGATCAATCGATGGCAGATAAGGGTCATTCCACTGCCAGATCTGCAGCAGCCTTCGCTTCCACCATTGGAACGAGACAGTTGGTGCTGAATCATTTCAGTCAGAGGTTTATCAATGATGAAGCCTTTTTATCGCGTAAGTTTTTCTGCAGCATTTATCATTGGTCAAATTCATAACTATCTAGCTTTTGTTAGTAGCCCACAAGCCAGTCAAGGAGGGCACTTTCTTTCACTCGTCTTAGCTCCCTTGTTAGAAACTTGAGTTTTACCCTCCTCTAAGCCAATGAAATTGGCCATTCCGTGAATGTGCCCCCAATGACTCGGCAGACGAGCACCTAATTTCTCTTATGGTGGATTGCTCAATGTAGCCAAGATATCTTACGTAGCCTCAGAGAACCTCTTTTCTCATGATAGCTCCTTACTCTCCTTGAGACTGAGTCATTTTGCTCATTTTGATATTTCTTAACCCCTCTTATCGATTATCTTTTTTTCTACATTTAGAAGGAAAAGATCCTGTGAATTATTCGAGAGTATCTTCTCTGTTGGAGGATGCCAAAAGTTGCAAAGAATTTGATGGCGAAGTTCATCTGTCAGATGATTTAAAAATAATTCCGATTGTTGGCAATGTTGAAGATGGTGATGATCTTGAACTCGATACTAAACTTCAGGCTCAATGAATAGGGCTGAATTTTTTTAACTGAAATATCATTTTTATGATGTTGTGAATAATATGACAAAGTAATATACCTTTTCTTGGCGTTTACCTTCTCAATCTTCTTTTTTAATGCTGGGAACGTGAAGATCTTATCGATCTTACCAGCAAATTATTATTTGGCGTGTTAGGGCGAGCTTTTGTTATAAGAGTGGGAGAAGGTCGCCATTCTTTCACTATGACTGCTACAACATGGGGTAGTAGCTGAGTGGGTCTTGGAATTATTCCAGCCCTTTGGCAGGGGGGGGGGTTATCATTTATGATATAAATTTTTGATGGATATCATAAAGGTATAATGCTCAGGAAAGTAAGGGAGAAATGTTGACTTCATTATTGTCAACTGTATAATGATATGATGCCACTTAAGGAAGCAATTACGACAAATGAAGAACATTGTGAAAGTTCCAAGTCGAGACATTGTGTGGCAAACCAGCATTTTTGTATTTACTGGTTTTTTAATACCGTATAATTAGAAATGAGTATTCAAGAAAAAATCAAACTCTCAAGGATACTACAATTATTTGTGCAGTAGAGGATTTATCATATGTTCGGTTTTTGAAATTAAAGCATGTCATTAGTAGGCAATGCAAAGTTATTCAATTGCAAATAAATCCAAAGTAAAGGCGCATTCATTCTGTGATATCTTTTCTTCGTTTATTTTATGAAAAATTATTTATAAATATTAATCGATAAGTTGGCTTCAGACAAAAAATTTAAAAGTTGGGAATCTCTTGGCTTATAGTGTCAAATCAAAATTCATTAATAATATATTTTCGAAAATTTTGAGTTAATAGCTTTAATAAACTGACAAATTAGAAATCTGGGTCAATGTAATTTGGTATAAGTTACATCATTTGAAGGTCGAATGTGAGGTTGTGTCCTTGGGACAGTTAAATAATGTAATATAGTTGAGTCGTGATGTCTAAATTATGACCTCAAATTTCTTACTAAAAATATTCAAACTAGAATATTATTTTGACAAGCCTTATGAAGACTTGCAGCTACCATACTCTGATCTTTTGGGTCGGACATACATGCGACTTCCCATTATTAGGTGTTTTGGAACCTCACCGTCAGGTTTGTTAATATTTATTGGCCTTCTGTTCATTATTACTTTTTAAGATGGTGATTTTATTATAATAATTATTGCACACTTTTCAGGTCAAAAGTTATGCGCACATATTCATGGTGTATTACCATATCTCTACATCGAGGACAAATCATTTGGCTTTATCGACAATAAAACTGCACTTCTTGATCAATTACGTTCACTTGCCAAAAGAATCGAAACAGTTCTTTCTTCTCGGGCCCCGGATTCGTTTGAAGGGAAGCACCTAGTTTACGATCTTGAACCGCTTTCTGCAAGGTAAGTTTAGCATTACTATATATTCCATTTGCTCATTTTCTAGGTCAATCTATGGATTCCGTGATAGAGATACCACTTTCATAAAAATTTCCCTAACTGACCCAGGGGATGTTCCGATTCTTGGAGAAATGTTCCTCTCTGGGGCTATTTATGGGTTTCCAGTTCAGCCATTTGAAGTTCATATTCCTTTCCTTCTTCAAGTAAACTTCCAACTGTCGATTTTAAATTGTTTTACTAGTTTTGTGCTGATTATAATCTACAGGGTATGAACTTTTTGGAAGCAAGGGCGTTCAGAGTTCGAGGTAGGTTGATATTTTGGTGACGATTTCGTCAATAGACGTCAGATCTCGTGGAGATTCGTCATCATCTTTGAATCAAAGTAACCAGTTATCCTTCACAATGACTCAGGAAGGGTAGGAAATTGAATTTGAAGTTGTAAACATCTTTTTAAATAGGTCATTTGGTCCACGTTCAAGTGCTCTTCGGCAGACCAGCACGGATGTCGAGGTTGATATTTCTGCCTGTGATATTCTTAATCGACTAGAGTGTTGCGAAGGTAATTTCACTTATATGTATATTCTCTCTTCTTGGTAATTAATCCGAATATTTTTATTGAATTTTATTAGATTAACTCTTATCTTTTATCTTGTTATCACTTTACACGCTTGTTAATGAAATTGCCATGGTAAAATGGAGAGTTGAACGCTCATCCTCTCTGCTCGGTGAAAAGGAAGACTATAAATTGCATTGTACGTAAATTATAGTTTCTTGCTGAGTTCACTCATAGAATTTACTAACTGTCGTCAATGAAATTAACTGATCGACAACAAGGAAATCATCCATTTAACTCCTCTCCAAATGGGGGGGGGGATATGATTTATTAAATTGATTAGTAGCACTTGGCTTTTGTTTCAAAGTTGATTTTTTCTCTGGTGCACTTTACACATTGCTTACTTTCTTAGTTGATGGAAATTTAAACGCTGGTCTGAATTTCCTCTGGGATGAGGAGCGCGTGAGACGTGAGGCACTGAAAAAGTCTGGAGCAATAGAGGCGATGCCGGCGGAAATGCCAACTGTTGATGGTCTTCTTCCATTATCTGGTTAATCCTATTTAAACTTGCGCACCTAATTGTTTTTTATTAATTTTGCTTTACTTAAACGCTTGTTCTACATTTATAGGGAGACCGAATGCGGTTCCTGTAGATAATGAGTTGGATCAAATCGAGTGTTTCAATCAACTATCTAGAGGTGGGTTCTTCCAGTTTATTCCGAGTCATTTATATATTGTTTTTAAATATTTATTTAGAGTGCAATTTGAGTCAACCAGAATGCAGCCAACGTTTGGATTTTACTCAAAGCCAATCAAGCGGTCTTTCGCAAAGGGCTCTAGAGGAGCTTTGTGAATTGGCCGAGGCATCTGAGGATTTCGATGCTTGCCTCCAGTCTTCCCTTCCAACTTCCATCGTCGCTTTTCTTAGCGCTAGTCAGTCCGTTTCTAAGGTTGGTTTTATTTTAGGCACCAATCTAAATACAAATTCTATTGGATCTCTTACTATGGTACAAGCCCCCCCCCCACCCCAGTTGATTCTTGTCTTTGCGTCATAACTATCTGTTGCCTGCTTAGTTGCAAAATCCCACTAATTTTTTTATATGTGTTAATTTTATTATTTATATTATTTGTAATATTTATTAATACCAAATGCCTGGCGTTTTGATAGCTGAGGGGGGGATATCAAAGTGAAAAAAGTCGAGAGGGGAGACAGAATAGCGATTCACAGACGTAAAAGAGAGACAGACTGACACAAAGGCTGAGAAAAGGTAAAATGAGTACTGTGGAAGTAGTCGAATATGACGGACAGCCGGGTCATGTTAGTTTGAAGTAAGAAGTCAACTGCCAGTTAATAGACTCTTTTGCCGTATGAGTATACGTTGCCCGGGGTGCACCACATGGAGGTAAGTCTATCGCACACCCCTTATTTGAAAAATCTATATATATTATTTATTTATTTTATAATTTCAGATCTTTTGTTTGCCTTTATATTTTCCGGAGTACACTCAAGCTTGCTTGTCACTGCAAATCTCATCTACATGTGAGACGAATTGTCATCTAGGGCAAATGGGAAACTTATAATTTTTAGCTTTGAAACTTCCATTTGGCCTATTATTTGCCCCCTTTTTAATGAAGTGGCTCAAAACAAAAATCAAATGCCTACCTTTGGGGAGAAAGCGAAAATCGAGGGTCTGATCTTTATAGAAAAAATCTCAGTTTGCGATTAGTGGTTGTTTGCTACTAAGACTTTCATTACCTAGAATTTCTGAGAGCATTTGATTATGTTGTCGGTCTTTATACTCGCTTGAATCTTTTCTCGTTCTCGTTCCCATCGGCCAATTTTTTTAAATATTTTTTTAGTCTACGCTTGATTGGATCCCCACCTTGAATCAGTCAGAAACGGAGGAAGATCTAGACTCTGCGCTTTTGTCTAGCGCTCGTGCATCTATTTCAACACTTCTTAATTCCACCACAAATGCCAATGAAACACCTGGTGATGCCATTTTGGAAAATGCGGAAGAATTGGAGGACGAAGATCTCTTCGCTGTAAGTCCTTTTTTTTCAACTTTTTACTTGGACCTCGGCGTTGCGTATGAGCGTCTTGGTTTTTCGAATTCATGCAAACAGTCCATTCTTGAAACCTCCGTTGCTTCGGAGTCGAATGAAGAAAAGGAAGGAAACAGCGAAACTGAGGATCTTTTTCCATCCCTCATGGACAGTGTTCTGGTGAATTCGACGGAATCTGGGTCAACAGCTTCTGAAACAATGGCTGATGTGTGGGTTTTTTTGTCAGAAACGCATCGGAACCATACTATTCTGTTTACTGATCTCCAGAGTAATTCTTTTTGTCTTGTAGTTCAAATTCATCCCACTTACCACAATTAGACGGTGGCGACGATCAACCCGAAGATCGGGGTTGGTTTCCTTTTTTTCAATGTTGTCTCATCTTTGTATTGAAAAGTGTTAGAACATCATTTATTTATTTGTATCAAATGGCAGGCGTTTTGATGGTTATAATTAGCCCTTTAGTTGACTTCAGGCTTCACAGAGGGAAGGATCATCAAAGTTTAAAAAGTCGAGATGGGGGGGGGGGACAGAAGAGTGTTTCAAAGACAAAGGTTGAAAATTTAGAAAAAATGTGATGTAGTACTGTGGAAGTGGTCGAATATGTCATACAGTGTGGTCATGGTAGTTTGAAGTCAACTGCCGGTTAATAGACTTTTTTGCCGTATGAGTATACGTTGCCCAGGGTGCACCACGTGGAGGCAAGTCTATCACACACCTCACGTTAGAACATCGTAGAAAGCATAATATTCACGGGTTAGATGGCAGGAGAAGATCGGTAAGCAACTCAAAAGTTTCAAAATGAGTCATAGGTGGAACAGGTTTGAGTCCAATGACTTAAGGATTGAAGGTGGCCAACCATTTGTAATCAAGTCATGATATGAAAACCACAAAGTGGTATTATTTCGAGGTTTTTTTCTCTTTAGTGCGCTCAAGGCCTCGCAGAAAAAGGCTAGGACTTCGATTAACCTCTAAGCATCTAGAAACTTCAGAATTTTGTTCAACAGTAGATTCCACGAATAGCATTCTAAGCACCCCTCCTCGATCACAAGCTGACTTTTCACATGGTGTTGCTAGTTCCACACCTCGTCAATTCTTCTCACCCTTTCAAAATCGTCGAGGTGACGCAACTTTCGCTATCGATGAAGAAGACTGCGAAGATCTGGATTCATCTACCGTCAGATTTCCACCTGAAGCTACTCAGGATTTTTTTGAAGAGATGGAATTCAGTAATGAGCATCAGGATCTAGACGTTGTTAAAGCCCTTCCTTGCCATTTAGGCGAACCCGATTTCGCTTTGCACTCCTCGGTTTTCATGACTCTTTGTGATCCGCCTTTGCCTCCAAGTTATTCGCAAGTTGAAGAGGAATTGGCTCAACGAAAGCCTAAAAAACTTCAACCGGTTGTTAAATCTTGCTCGGAATCGGAAGAAAAAAGGAAGGAAATCGATCTTTCAGCGTCGATGAGTATGCTCTGGACATCGCAGAAGTCTCTTGAAAATGCCTTAAGTTCAAGTCTCCTCTCTCCGAATATGTCAAGTTCGATAAGTAGGAGAGCTTTTTTGCCAATTCAGGAGAATCATTGCACTGTGGCGTCACTGGAGCTCCTTGTTCGAACCAGGCGACAAACAGGAAACTCGATAAATGTTTCAAGGAGTAGCCATGCAATTTCAATTGCCAGTCTTGGGGGTTTCTTTGCGCCCGATCCGCAGATGGATCCAATCAGTGCTGCTGCTTTGGCTTTTGAGGGAATAACATTTCTGCTCATTTCAACGGAGATCAAATGGCGCCCAGTTTCGAAATTGGATGCATTATCACCTGTAGTGATCTTCTGTAAAGATGAAGCGGACCTCTTGAACTGGATGGTGTATTTAATTCAAAAGTAAGGTCTGAAGTATTTCTTATTCGCTTGTTAAGGAAATTGCAGCAACTTTTAGGTCTGGAGTGGTGAAGAGGAACCAGTGTTTTTCTTTAAATTGATGTGGCTTTCAATCTTCTTTATTTAAGATAACGGAGCTCATTAAGTCATCTTTAGGGCTCTACTTTCGCAGACTTCGTAGAAAGTGCCCGAAAGTCTTGTCACCCAGTTTTTATAGGTTGATTACTGAGGTACTACAACTGCTGATATGTGAGAATGATCGGTTTCTTTGTTAGCTAGTTGTAGATCACTGGTAAGATTTAATTCCCAAGAATGAGCATAGATGAGTAGGATTTGATTAACTCCGTTTAGTGTATGAGCAGACATCCTCGTTTCTATTATGAATGCTTCAACGCTATGATATCTGACTGCGCTCTTCATTTCAGTTTCGACCCGGATATTCTAATCGGTTACAATGCCGAAAAACGCTCCTGGAACTTCGCTGTCCAACGGGCTGCTAAAATCAATCGAGTGGGATTCTCACGAGATATTTCCAGATTGGCTCCAGGTGAGCATTTGAAGTGGACGTTACTCCACCTCGATTTTTTTCAAACAGGTAATGCTCTGGTGCTATTGTCTACTTCAGAACGTCTGCAATGTCCAGTTTGTGCCGAATATCTTTCTATTTGTTCCCGTCTTCGACCTGGTGACACCTTCGAAACTTCCAAACTATCGACCACCTTGTGTTCCTGTCCAGGAGGTGTTGTTGCATCTGGTGCACTTCGAAATACTCGATCAGCATCATCTGCCGCTTGGCCATGTGAGCCTGGGCGTGGTCGTTCGGACGCTCCATTCGCGTGTCCGGGTAGACTGGTATTCTCATTGTGGCACTTATTACAACATGAGGTGCGTCTCCTTTTGGCAAGCAAAAATGAATCTTCGCATTAATAACATTTCCGACACTTCTTGCTGTCTTCAATTTGGAAACGGGAGTTTGCGGTAGTTGAGTTTTCTTAGATTTTTCTACCCAATCAACGCCAAATTTTAAGTAGACGGAGATGTTTGCTTTTCCCGAGGGTAGCCAATCCTCACCTACTCAAACTCGTATTACTAAATGTATTTTTTAATAAGAAATGTCGTTTGGACTGCAGGTCTTCTTAAAATGCTGGCAATTGAGGAGCACGAGGCAGAACACGGATTACTCCTTAGGATCGTGAGGTCCTCTTTCAAAATAATCTCCATTGGTACTGGTCTCCCAACAGAGGGCACTAATGTCGTTTGAAACATGTTCAATACATGTCTGTAGCCGCCTTCGCCTGATGTTATCAGAATTCATCACGTCGGCAGCGGCGGCAGTCTGCTGTGGGACACGCGGGAGTGGGGTTTGGTGCATTTTCAAAAACAAAAAATAATTCGGGTTTTAAGTGGTTAAAGGGGGTTGGCAATTGACCACCAAAAAGGGAAACTATGATCGATGATGGCTCAACACTCGATCAAGAAAATATATTTTGTAGATTGTGATTCCAATTCTCGATATTCTGTGGCAAAATCTCTCAGGACTTTCATCGGATCTCTATTTCCACTCTCTTCTTCCAGATTTACTTATAACCGTTCTTGTGGCTTGAAGTGGAATATCTCTCACCCCCCCCCCTCACTTTTTTCTTCCCCATCATGACTTTTATTACAATTTTAGGTGAGTCTTCACGAGTACTCATTCGAAACAGTTGCTGTCAATATTCTGAAGAAGCGGCTGCCACATTTTACCGAGGGACAGCTTTCAGAGTGGATGGAAAGTTCTCATCTCCCTACTCGGTATTTTGTCAGAGCATTTCTCAAATCAAAGTTAAACGTCACTTTCACTTTAACTGATTTCTCGTTTTTTGCTCCTTAGTTGGCAATCCTTAAACTACGTTGTTTCGCGTTCAGAGACTAATCTAGCTCTACTCAAAAAGGTTGATCTTGTTGCTAGAACCTCGGAGTTTGCTCGAGTGTTTGGAATTGAGTTCTTTCATGTCCTCTCTCGTGGTTCTCAGGTTTGCTAGCAATTCTGCCTATTAACGGGTTTTTTATTCTAACTAAGTAGTACTTAGTCATTTCTCTCATTTCAGTATCGCGTTGAATCGCTTCTACTTAGAACTGCACGACGACTAAATTTGCTCCTCCCCTCTCCCAATCCCGCTCAGCGAGCTCGTCAACGAGCACCCCAGGCAATCCCTTTGACCCTGGAGCCTCTGAGTGGCCTCCACGCCGATGCTGCAATTTTGGTTCTTGATTTCCAGTCCTTGTATCCATCAATTGCCATCGCCTACAATTACTGCTTTTCTACAGCCCTGGGGCGTCTTTCTTGCCTTAAGTGGGTGGCCACCTTTTCCTCTGCTATTATATGATTGCAGCAGATTCGAGTATAATTTTTTTTGCAATTCGATTTGATTATGGTTTTTAGGCCAGATGAGTCGTTTGAATTCGGCTGTCTCAGCCATATGGCCTCCTCGGAGACTCTAAAGGTGCGCGTTTATTAAAATCAATATTTTTGTATGCATCAGATCCGCTAGGGCCTGCTATGGAGCCGTTTTTTTTATCTCTTTTGCGTTTCAGCGATTAGAAAATAAAGTAACCGTTTCCCCCAATGGTGTTGTATTTGTGCGTCCAGAAGTCTATCGAGGTGTTCTACCGCGTCTATGGAGAGATCTTCTATCATCTAGATTGATGGTGAAGGATTCTCTCAAAATGTACGCCCAGATTTCAGAGGTAAATTCAAGAACTTTCAATCGAGAATGTCTACTTTTCAGAAGCATTTTAGATAATTTGTTTCCTTTGTAGTCCCTTAAACAGTTGCTTGATGCGCGTCAGTTGGGCTTAAAACTGATCGCAAATGTTATGTATGGTTATACAGCAGCTAGCTTCTCAGGACGTATGCCTTGTGTTGAGGTTTGTACTGCTTACTAAAATCTTTTAAATGAGCTCCAAATCAATGTGACCGTGTTTTTCCTCAGGTTGGAGATAGTATCGTTCACAAGGGTCGTGAATGTCTCGAACGAGCAATTCGATTGGTTGAATGCGATCCGTCGAGTCAGGTATCATGGGTCGGGTCAAAGGTCATTTACGGAGATACTGATAGTTTATTCGTTAAGTTACCACCATGGGTTGGCAAGGAAGCAGCATTCAAAATCGGTCAAGATATTGCGGATGCTGTGACTGCGTCAAATCCTGCACCCATCAAACTTAAACTTGAAAAGGTTTGGCAATGGTTTGTGGATAAAACTTTTGATCCTAATTGGCCTATTATAATCAGATGCCATTCATTTGATAGGCCTATTATCCATGCATTTTGGACACCAAGAAGCGTTATGTTGGTTACTGTTACGAATCTCCTGATCAAGATGTACCAAAATTTGATGCGAAAGGAATTGAGACTGTTCGTCGTGATCATGCACCCTTTGTTGGAGAGGTGGGCAGGGGGCTACTCATATAATTTCAGTAGCATCTACATACTATATATGACACACTGTGCTTTCTTTTAGATGATGGAGTCAGTGATTCGGCAAATATTTGATGCATTTAAGTGGAGTGGCGACAATTCAAGTGCGTTTTTAATTGCATATTATTTATTAAGTAGAATATAACAGTTATCTATCGCTTAAATGGCATTCAAGCCGCACGATAAACATTTATTTACTTATATTAAATGGTAGTCGTCTTGTTAGTTATCATTAGCCCATTAGTTGACTTCAAGCTTTGCAGAGAGGAGGAACATCAAAGTAAAGAAAAGTCGGGAGGGGAGGGGGGAACAGGTGAGTGTTTCAAAGATGTAAAAAGGCAGACACAAAGGTAGAAAAAGGTGAGGTGAGCACTGTGGAAGTAGTCGAATATGACATGCAGTGGGGTGGTGGCAGTTTGAAGTCAGAAGTCAACTGCTGGTTAATAGACTTCTTTGCCGTATGAGAATACGTTGCTCAGGGTGCACAATGTGGAAGTAAGTCTATCGCTCACCTCGCACGCTAAACATTTATTTAATATTGATCTTCGGTGTTTTATTATGGTTACTGATTTTAATTTAAGTAGCTCGCTTTTTTACAGATGTACTATCTCACTTGGAGCCGCTTGTTCGAAGGAAAATTCGTTCGTTAGCAAGGGATTTGAGCTCAGAATCGATTCCCTTTTCTTCATGCTTGCTCGCCCGTCCTTATCGGGGTTTCGATGCCTACCGACCGGGAGCCTCTGCACCGGCTCTACAAGTCGTAAAGTAAGGAATTCCCCCTAATTACATTTGCATTGATTGGGTTCGTTTCCATAATGCCCAAAATAGCACTTAGCTTCAACTGTGAGGAAGGATTTTCGGGAAAGGAACTTTAGTCTTTGGGATTTAAAATTCGTGTCTTTCACCCTTGTTACCTATGAACATTAGCTGTTGCTTTTCAAGGTCGTTTGAATAGACTTGAATTTAATGAGAATGTTCAAGGTGATATCAACTGTGTGCATATTATTAAGGACTGAAGAGGTTTTGATATTCTTATTCGGCATTTAAAGTGAGAATAGATTAATTAATGCTTTCTTTAAGCTTTAATGGAATTTTAAAGCGAGTACTCATAATTATTCAATGTTGTCAGACGTCTGAAATCCGTTGACCCCAATCGAGAGCCTTGTCTAGGTGAACGAATCACCTACTACCTTGCCCCTCCTCCCACACCCTCCATCCCACTGATTGGCTGTGTCAAGGCCAGTGAAGAGGCCTTCCACTGTGATATTTACCCTTCCCTTCATCTTCCCTTCTACCTCGATCATCAACTTCTTCCACCTCTGCGAAGAATTGGACAACTTCTGGACTGGAGGGTGGATTCGTGGCTGTCCGATCTTCCACGATGTGTTGTTCGCTTCAAAGAAACTAATCTAGTAGATGGTCCAATGAGATGGAATTCTGGACGCGGCAGGAAGAAGCGAAGGTGGTTTGGGCCACAAGGAGCTTTGAATATTATGCATGAGTTTTTGAGTACGAAGAGGTGTTGTTTGCTCTGTGGAGTGGATAACAGGATTATTCCGAGTGAAGAAATCTGCTGTACTACGTGTCTTGAAGGAGATGCCAATGCATCCACGAAGGCTCTTATCAACAGTGGTATTCAGGTGTGTATGCTTCAGATCTCATTAATCATGATTTCTCACATAATCGTCTGGGTTTTTTACTTCACTTTTCAAAATCCTTTTTACTGTCCTTATTTCGTGTTTTTCATAAATTCTAGTGCTTCCATAATGTCGTTCATCTTGAATTAGCGCTGATTATTGAGCTTCACAAAGTGAAAGCGTGTTAGCTATCCCAGTTCCTCTACAGTTTACGATTATCTAGGCTGTTTAATTCCATCCTATGAATTCGATCAGTGATGTTGGTGAAGTCTTATAAAATTTGACTTTTTAAACTTCCGTTACGCAAACCTTTGCATACAAGCCGATTCCACAGCCAAATGATGAAAGTCTCTTTGAAATCCTGACGTCACTTTCCAGGTATTTCGGGCCCCTTTCTCACCATTAATTGACCTTATCATCTATCGTTTTTATTTAAAAAATTGTAATTTGCTTTTGCCTTGTTGCTAGAGGCTCCTCATTTCATCTTCCTGTTGTAGTCTATTCGAGTTTCATGTTTTGTCTGCCAACTGTGTTCTTCCCTAATCCCGATCTTTCCCTGTAGTTGAGGACGCTGGAAGACCGTCTTAAACAATCCATGGAATTATGCAACATCTGCATTGAAAGTTGCCATGGAAATAAGTGTCAGAGACCACTAGGATTTCCTTCAAGACCGATGACTTGTCAATCCTGTGTAAATATTGCATGTCCGAATCTCCACTCTCGTCGTCGAATTCTCAAGCAACTTCGACGCTTGCAGAGTGCGTTTACGGATCTCCTCGAGTGAAGTGGTTTTCTTAAAATGTTTTTTTTTGTGTGTGTCTTCCGACAATATCTTTCATCAGATGCTTGTGTTCTAGCCCTTCCTTAAATGTACTTTTTTTTACGTTTCTATGATGTCAAATTAATAGAATGCATGTCTTCTTCTTCTTAATCTTACTTATTTGAGCATCTGGGTGAAAATTATCTTGTAATCTTAATTACCACTGTCCTTTTGACCTAATGACACCTCAATCACAAAGGTTGATATCGATCTACAATCTTTTATAGCTGTTCCATTTCATTTAAAAGTACATCTGTTCTATTGTCTTGCAAGTAGAAATCACTCAAGTGACCCATGTTAATCGTTTCTTGTTTATTACTTCCTGTAATTTGGTGACCCAAAACAAGGCTTCTCTATCCAGTAATTTATTCTAGAAAACTGAAATCTCGTACCTCATGAGCGGAAATCATTTAATAAGTAAGTCCTGGTCAGCTGCACAAAATTTTTTCCCTAACTTTTTATATTCACATCAAAAGGCGGGCGTTGCAATAGTTATCATTAGCCCTTTAGTTGACTTCAGGCTTCACAGTGAAAATGCCGAGAGGGGGGGGGGGNGGTGGGGGACAGAAGAGTGATTTGCAGATGTAAGAGAGACAGACACAAAGGTAGAGAAAAGGGTGAGATAAGTGCAATGGAAGTTGTGGAATGCGACATACAGTGAGGTGATGATGGTTTGAAGTAAACTGCCGGTTGATAGACTTTTAGCCGTATGAGTATACGTTGCCCAGGGTGTACCACGTGGAGGTAAGTCTATCACACACCCCTCCCTAACTAAGCTACACCCAATTTGACCTTAATAAAGCTTGGCAGAAACTGATCTTAATTATATGGTTGATTTTCTCCCGGGTTTCCCCATTAGCGGCATGAACCCTTCAACATGGCTGTTCATTCATATCGCTATCCCCAGCGTCGAACTACAAAATTCCTCATCTACATTAACGTACTTTGTATCCTAGATGCAATATCGAATTTACCTTAACTCAAGAGGGTAGAACTGATTCCGTAGCGAATAATAATAATAAGCCAGTAATCTCTAAGGTAGCAACAAGATATATTATGCTAAACTCACTTGCAATTGGCCAGTCATAAATGTCCAGCGGCCCGGCCAGTAACTGACAAAAAAACCAAGTTCCGGTAGTACTACGAAGTATATGAACATACCATGAATAACTCACAAACCGAGAATACAGTGACTCGATTATATCCACTATTAAGGAGACTGCTCAAACAATTCCCAGCAGTACTAGTCGGCTTAAAAGTTGATCAGTGAAGAATAAATAAATCTAACTCATCTAATCTAATCTAATTTCATGCCCAATCTAAAGAAAGGCCTCGTGTATACACAATATATACATACATTAATCATCAGAAAACAAAGAAAATATTTACAAAAGAGAAAGACAAACAAAATACATCGATGTTGGGTCTCTAGTTCTTCATCTTCTTCTTTGCAGTAGGCTTTTCATAAATCTCCTTGAAACCACCTCCGTGTTGCATTTGGAATTTCATCGCCAGTGGATCATTCGACGACCATGCAGCATCGAACGCCGTGGTGTCTTGATCAACCAAGTGGGTGTACTTTGTTCTTCCAGCTCGGCCAAAGTTCTTCACTCTTAGCACCTCGGGCAATCTAGTCTTATCAAAGTGATCCTCCAGTGTAGGTTTGGTGAAATCTCGCTGGTAGATTTTATCCTCTTCCGATTGAACAAAGAATGCGCCTCTGTGGAAGTACTTCTGAAGGAACTTGTATTTGCCTTTCGAAGCCTGATTGGTGATCTCCTTCGGATTCTTTCGGAATTCAGCCTGTCTTTCGGCCTCTGTCATGGCTCTAATACGTTCAACTTCTGCTCTTTCACGTTCGATAGTTTCTCTCGCCTCTCTATCACGACGAATTCGTTTGAGTTCACGCACTTTCCACAGCTCATATTCTTCTTGCTCCTTGTGAGGATCCCCTGAGACTGCCGCGTCGTCCGAGTCAAGAGCGTCTAATTCCTCCTGCATGAGACGTGCTTCTTCAGCTTCCCGTCTAATTTCAGCTTCAAGGAGTTTGAGTGTGTCGCGGCGCCTTTCATCAGCCAAACGTTTCGTCTCGGCAGCAGCTTCCGCTGCAATCTGGTCCGCTCTCTGTTTGGCCTGGAGGGTGATGCGTTCATCCTTTCGAACAAACACTGGCTTGAGTTTAGGAGCTCCCATTTCATCCTCGGAGCTGGACGAGGTGTACTCTTCCTCTATCTCCTCATAAATCTCCTCTTCTTCATTAATAGCCTCTGCAGTGGCAGCGTCGGTAATTCTGTTCAACTCAGCCCTCTCCAAATCCATCTCTTCAGCGACTCGACGTTGCCTGGCTCTCTGCCGAATCAATTCACGACGTCTGGCGAGTTCTTCCTCATCAACATCCTCTCCCTCCTCCTCTAATTCTTCATCTCCCTCCTTTGCTTCATTGTCTGACAGCCCCCCATACCCTCCGTCGGCTCTAAGACGTCGATGTCTGGAGATTTTATCGTCTTCGTCTACGTCATCCCCTTCTGCTTCTATTGTTGATCTAACAGCCAAAAGACGACGAATTCTCGGATCATTAAGTTCCTCTGCTGTTGGTTCCTGCTCAATTACTGAGATGGACTCCTGTTTGGGCGAGGACGGGAGAGTGAAGCGAGGACGTTTGGTCCGGGAGATCTCGTCACCGGCTTCGAAATCGGAGAAGTCGTCGGATTTTTCACCCTCAGAGTCGGACGCAAAGTCAGGACGTTTGCCAGCAATATAGCGACGAACTTTCACCTTTTTCATGAATATTTGACCCTTCTCATTTTTCACAGGGATTGCACCAGCCGTACATTGGATACCTTCGCTCATATTTGCTTACTAGATAAGAGTGCTCGATTTAGATCAGCTATTCTTAGGTTACGCATATATATATATATGAAATATACGTTTCAATACAAAATTGATGGAAAACAACAATACTAACAGTAAGAAATGCAAACAAAAGAGAAGAGTAGCGGAACGTACCGTACAGCAACACAGATCAGGTAATTAAGCCTTTCAGGGAATCAACAATTGCACATTAAAACAAATAAAAAGGAGTAGATAAACTGGGAGAAGTTTTAAAGTAAATTATTATTTTATTCATTTTAATATGCATGAAAATATTTTGTAATATCATTTTCGTGTAAATATTCACAATGTTTGAAAATTTTGGCGATATTGGATTTCGGATTTCTGTCATCTAATTATTAACTTTTGCCCAATTTTCTTCTAATTGGTTTGAAAATACTCTTGAAATATTTATTTATAAATTAAAGTTATATCAGTTTGAAGAGATAAATATGTTCTTCGTCATATTTCTTCATCCATCTTTTTATTTGACAATAAATATAAGTAAGTCACGGCAGCACATTGGCTATAATTTCCTCTCTTAATACTAAGAACAACATATAGCAAAAATTTGGCCAAATATAGGGATTCAGATTTCTCACCTTGTCATACATCCTTATTTTAATCTTTTGACAGAATGACAATTTCGATCATCTGTGTTTGTATCCCCTCTCAAATTAATTTTCAGCTAAACAACAGCTTGGTAGTTCTTTAGGTAGTTGTTAAAATCACGGGATGAGGAACCATATCTGACGATTAGGAAATGTGCTCAGGCGTCTTCTACTAAACTTGGTGAACATGATTTTCCGGTTCGACAGCAAGCTTCATTGATACACCATAGTTGGTTTTTCTATTTATGAGTTTGAAATCAAAAGACATCACTTTTCTTAAACAGTGGATTCACTCCATCCTATTTTTTATACATATCCACTGAAATACATCAGTTCTTGTGGATATTGTTAATCGTAATTCAGCTTTCACGTCATTTTGATGTTTGGTGATGATTGAAAAATCTTTTGAAGAACTTGTCTTAGGTAACTTCTTCTCCAGCATAAAATCTTTATTTCAACAGTTTATCACCTTCTTCAAGAAACTAACCTAAACATCCACCCTCTTTATTATCCTCTAGCTCCTTTCAAATTTCTAATCCGGATTATCCCTTTTCAGAAATGCACTTTTAATGTCATAGGTGAGGAATGGCTATAGCTCATATTATCTTCTTTATTTTAGGTAAGACTTAATTTTAAATACTTTAATTTTCTGCTTAATTAAATCTGCTTAATTCTGAATTTCCTAAAGGGTGCAAATATTAATTAACGGAATTAAACATCACTGAGTCCTATAAAGAAGTTTATAATTTGATTAAATATATATTTATATTTATAACACTGGCCATTTTATTTACCGTTAAGGCATTTTGTACTTTCGAGACCCACCAATTAGCAATAGGCTTGGCACTGAGTTTCTAGTGTACGGGTCTGTAGTCATTGTAGTGTTCCTATTCTACTTGCAAGTATTCTTTCAGTAATGCCACGTCTTTTATTGTTCTATCATGTTATTTATTTAAGTAACATTTTTATTTCTATATTTAGCAACTTGTATAGTTTTCCATTCAAGCATTGTATGCGTTATATTTCGTTTATTTTTTCCAGTGCACTTCTAACGAGATGCACACATCAATCACGCTCGTTTTTTCAACATTCTGTAGTAGGTGATGGTCTTTATCAAATTTTTATTTAGTTTCTTTTTGGCCAGTTGAATGGATGACAACGAGTACGAATCCGTCTTACTAGTTAAACGCGAGGTATTCGTTTACACACTGCCACCTCGTCAATCGGCTAGGGGTTATCGTGCAGCCGATTGGTCTCTTGACGCCCCCATCTGGAGCGGACGTCTCAAAGTGATCACCAAGAATACCAAGAATACCCTCTACATTCGACTTGAGGATGGCACTTCTGGTCTTTTGTATGCACAATGTCCTGTTGAAAGCTTCCCCAGTGAAGCAGTCGAACAAGTTCTCGATTCTTCTAGATATTTTGTCATTAGACTCGTCTCAGACGATGGCAGATCCGTCCTCGTTGGAATCGGTTTTGCGGGAAGGAGCGATGCTTTTGATTTGAATGTTGCTCTCCAGGATCACTTCAAGTGAGCTATTTTTTGGTATTATGATTTTTAATTCTAAACTTTTTAGTAATTTTATGCGCATTTCACGGGTTTATTATTTGTTTAGGCTTCCAGATATTATTTTATGCCTTGTATAGCTTGATCTTAGCTCTTCTCTTTAAATGCATAATCGAATTTTACTTGTATATTCCATTATGACGAAGAAGGGATTTAATTGATTGAATTTAAGTGACACTTGGGGCGAATTTTTTCATGAATGGTATTAGATGGATGGCCAAACCAAATCTAATGCGGTAATTGAAATTATGGTTTGCATATTTCTTCAATCGCAATGTGGAGTATTGTCCATATTCATCTATCGTTCCCGCTCGTGCAGTGGTCTGCATTGATGTCTCTAGCACCGTCGAGTTGTTTTTTAAAGCTCTTGACTTTTTTACTTTCCAGAATTTTTCGACCGTTTGTTGATACCGTTTGGCTTTAGTTCATTATTACGACTAGATTTGGATAAATATCACTAATTTAGGATTGCTATCGATGAGTGCTTTGTCTTCTACGCATCAGCACTTATTGTTATTGCAATTAAGTTTTTTGTGAATAGCTTGAAAAGTTCAATCTTTTTAATTCATTCCTTTGAATGGCATCTGTTTATTACGGTTGTTGTTCATTTCATGCCGGAATCACATTCAAATGGTCATACTTTTCGGTGAAAATGTACCAACTATATTAAACCTGCAGGCGAAATTGATGAAGTGTAACGTTAATTATGAAAAAAACGTTCAGGTATAAAAGTATCATTAGCCAATCTTAATCTGAGTTCCCGGAGAATTTTCGCTTCTAGTTAATCTTGTGTTTTCTAGTTCTAACCCACCGAAGGGAAAATTGCAGACTTCTGCTTTAATCACGTTGCATCTTCTTTATCAGTTTTATTATTTCTTGACTTTTTTATCAAGCATTCCAAATTTTGGCTTTATCGTTTTCCTTCTCCAACTTTTCCTCAACGATTCGCTCCTCTTCTGCCACTTAGAGGCGGGGGGGGGGGGGGGGGGGGGGGGTTGGGCTTTTTGTGATCTTTTATCACAAGTGTTCATGCCAGAGCCCGTATTATGTGTTGTATGGCAAAATGACCAATAGCTAAGCGAGATTTATCGTCTTTATTTAGCCTATTATTGTATGATAACCTGCATCAAGGCTGAAATGTTTTACAACACTGTTCAAGGTGGCATAGCGGTTGGAGTCGGTTAAAATTTAGTTGTAATGGAAGCGAGTATGCCAAATTTGTAGTCTTACATCATCATTTAATCTGTGCATTCAGGCTGCAGAAATTAACTTAATGGCCATTTCGCGTACCGAAACTTAAATTCCATAACTCGCTCCTGGTTTTTTTAAAAAAATCGGTATTCTGTACTTATTGACCCTTCACTTGATATGGCGTTTTATCTAGCCACATCACTTTATTACTAATTTGGAAGTTGGGCACGTAGAGTAATTTTGCCTGATGGTAAGCGAACTCCGTTATCTTAACATTACCAAATCCCAACAAGTTAATCATTCTCTTTCGATTCCAGACATGTTAAACAAGCAGCCGAAGCTGAACTAATTCAAGCTCAGGAAGCCTTAGGCAGTTCCGATACCTCATCTCACCCTAAACTCGATTTGGGTCTCAAAGAGGGTCAGAAACTCCGTCTTAATCTCAACACCCGTCGTTCAGGAGATACCGATGGTGGTGGTAGCAATGGCTCAGGTACCGCTCGTTCGAGGCCCTTGCCTAGTCTCAAATTGGGTAGTCCCTTGGGTCCCGGACTAATTCCACCCCCTCCAGGTCCTGCAACCACTGGAAACCGCAATCGACAGGCCCTTCGAGGTACTGTTGCAGGAATACCTGAAGTTACCCCTTCAGCAAAAACTGCTTCGGCTCCGAAATCGAATATTGACCTTCTGGCGGATATATTCCAGTCTTCTACTCCTCAATCTGCGCAAACAGCGTCCACGCAAAATTCGAATGATTTCAGTCTAATTTAGGCACTTGTGTTCTGTGAAATTATCTTTTACCCCTCTGTGCGTTTAACCACAAAATTTCCACTGTTGTAATTGATGTGCGTTCCTCTACTGCGTGTTTATATCATTGATGAAATTGAATTCCTCGGTAATAAAGATTAATTTATTTCTTGTTAATTTCCTTTTTTTAGTAGGATCGTGGACTGTAGTCAAATTAAACTAACTCGGCGGTTAAAAGTATGTAATCAGCCCGGGTCTCTCAGATGTTGGAACGGAAGTTGTAGAGCCAAACTGACTGGTAGTGAGAGTGTAAAGAAGAATTAATTCGGGCGGAGAATGAGTGGTGACAATTTTCGCGAATTAATGATAGAAATTAGGGGTGTGCGATAGACTTACCTCCACGTGGAGCACCCTAGGCAGCGTTTACTCATACGTCGAGAAAGCCAATAAACCGGCAGTTGATTTCAAACTACCATGACCCTACTGTATGTCATATTCGACCACTTTCACAGTACTCACCTTATTGTATGTCATATTCGACTACTTTCACAGTACTCACCTCAACCGTATGTCATATTCGACCCCTTCCACAGTACTCATCTTACCTCGACTATTTGTCATATTTGACCCCTTTCACAGTACTCATCTTACCTTGTCATATTCGACCACTTTCACAGTACTCACCTTACCTTGCCCTTTCTCTACCTTTGTGTCTGCGTCTTTATTTTCATATGTTAATTTTTTGTCTGTTCCCCCTCTCTCGACTTTTTGCGACTTTGGTATTCCTCCCCCTCTGTCAAACCCGAAGCCAACTAAAGGGTTAGTGATGACTATCATTAAGTTCATCATTTAATATATTAATAAATGATAGAAATTACAAAGATGTCATATGTATAGGCGCTTTGATCTTACTCTTGAGGTAGTGTTATTGGAGTAGTACCCTTTTTGTGCTAATTCCATTGACTGAGATAAACCAAACCCTCATTCGCATTTCCGCTATCGACCTGCTCTCCCACCAAAAAGGATGTAGGGACTTCCAGTAAGACGACACTCATCCTTCTTCATTGATGAGTGCTGATTGGTTGGTATCCTCGATGTAAGTTGACTAATCCTCACTCCCCTCTAAGCATGAGCTCTAACTGATCCAGTTCTTTGCCTTGAATGTGTTCTGTTTAGCTAAACACCATATCGAATGGTAGCGAATTGGCTGTGTTACGGAATTTATGTAAGCGAACGTGGTAATAATTAAGCGAATTCGGATAGTAGATAAGTAAGTGGATTGCTGAGGAAATGAAACACTAGAGTATAAGAAATTTAGAATTAGAGGTATTGAAAGCAGAGTTTTAATTGAAGGCGTAGATACTTCATCTAGGCAACATTCAATCCTTGTCAGAGCATCTCTAAACATGTATACATTTAAAGCACGTGCTTATTACAGTTTGCACAATTAATACACTACAATATGCTTGGAAGTATTAAAAACATCAACATTTAGTGTTCCAAAATATAACAACTAGTCTCCTTTTAGTGTAATCGAGTACAATGGATATTCCGTGGCTAAAGTCGGAGAAGGAAAGAGAGAAGCCAGATGCGCTATGACCTATAGTGCCATGATTTTGTAATTAATTTTGGAACTGAACTTTGTTTTATAAGCCAGATAAGATGATGCAGATCACATCTGATGTTATAGATCAAGGAATTATCTAAATGGAGGATCGAGACATTCTAGTTACCGCTATTTATCGACTTGAAGCACTTCATGTTTTCTTCTCTTATATTTCAGACAATTATGTAATGTTAAAACAATGAAATTCTGATAGTTTTATTTGCCCTAAGGACGCCTGGAAACGGATTTGTTTTAATATAATGACAAGTGGTTTCTCCCTTTACACTGCTCTGGGAAACAATTTCATTGATTTTGAGATTTATGCAAGAAAAAAGAAAGAAATTTTTAATGAAATTCGCATTAAAATAAATGCGGTTACACGTTAGTAGAATACTTTATAGAAAATCTCTAGGGGATTGATAGGAGGCAATTAATACAGCATTAATAGAGCAAAAATATAGTACCGCTCCATCCATCAAAAAATGATTAAACTTAGCAGGTGATTTTATGAAAGAGTGGCTTATTGCACTTACTTACTAAATGTCAAAATTCAATTGGACTCCATATAAAGAGTATCTGATATGTAACAGATTTGCCTTTTGACTATCTTAGATAAATATATAAAGATGAACGAAAAACTTCATATGATCTCATTTATGTCATTGAAAATTAATATGGACACATTTCAAAACGATATCAATTTATTTCTTAACAGACATTTGTCACTACAACATACTTAAATTGTTATGATGCCACTAATGCTTTGCAAAGGCAACGTTTTTAATGCCATTCAGTCACAAAACTCATCTAAAAATAGCTAAATCCGTAAATTTATCGTAAAATATTCTAATAATATTTCAATGCTCATCAATGTTCGCCATTGAGTGCGTTTATATGTACTACAACTTTGCCGAATTAGCCTATAAAGTTTTGACTTTTAGTGGACGTATCTAAACTCTACACGGTAGAGAGCATGGTGTGTTTGGATTTTGTTTATCTTCAATACATCTGTCATTATTTCATAGTTTATTGTTTAAAGGACATCTAGTCATATCTTTTGGGCCATTTATATAACTCTTAATTCACTACTATTTACCAGCGAATTTCAATTAAATTTCTTCACGTTAATTGGAATAATTAAATTCATCCATTTATCACATATAGATTAAATTAGAATTCAAACTGCTTCTTGTGTGGGGATTTTTCATACATGTTCCACTTTCATATGAATTTATAAGCCCCTGCTGATGCCATGACGTGTATGAATTAATTGCGTCTCCAGCGTTATATTTCTCAGCATTATTTTAATTGCTTGTTTTATTTGATATATCGCCATTGGAATTGCTCTCGCTGTTGTGCTTATCATTATCTACCGTATTCTAGTGTTTTTCTTTTCGGATTTTTAGGTTTCAGTCTACCAAACTGTCGACACTGGTCATGAAGACATTATTGTAAGTTTTCTCTCTACTTTATGTTTACCCTTTGCTTTAGCATGATGCTCAAATGAACTATCATGGAACAATTCTTGCAACTTGCTCATCAGATGAAGTTATTAAACTCTTTGATGTAAAAGACAAAAAGCAAAAATTATCAGCTGAGCTCAAGGGGTGAGTTTGCCATCAGCTTGACTGTTTATCTTTTGCTACTCTTTATGGAGTCTGATTTCCTCCTATTATTCTTTTTCAGCCACCAGGGACCAGTATGGGGACTTAGCTGGGCTCACCCCATTCATGGCAACCTTCTGGCCTCTTGTAGTTACGACCGCAGTGTAATTGTATGGGCAGAACACGATGGGAAATGGGATAAATTTTACCAATATACGGGTCATGGCAGCTCCGTTAACGCTGTTGCGTGGGCTCCTCATGAATATGGTCTAGTTCTGGCTTGCGGTAGCTCAGATGGATCTATTTCAATCCTCACTTACACAAATGCTGGTAACTGGAATGCTGTGAAGATTCCTGACGCTCACACTGTATGTCTGCAAATTGTTTTAACCGTGTGTATTTTATATCCTAATTTTTAATTTTTCTTCACGAATTGTGCCAATTATGTCGCCACTCCGTTTGTTTACATTGAGCATTTGATAGTTTGTGCTTAAGTGCTCTTTATGGCTTCGTTCAATTTGGTCGTCTGCTTCCCTCGTTTTGCCAATTTGAATCCTCCTCCCTGATTGAAATCGTTATCTATATCAAATATTTTTTTATTTTCATAATTTTGATATTCATCTACATTTTTCCTTCTTTTTGCTCTCACCCAAAGCTAGTTATTTTGAGGTTATCGAGTTGATTTAATTTTTCTATTTGAATTTGCATTTCTGTAAAGTATCGTGGATCTAATGATCGTCGCCGATACGGTTTCCACATATTACTTAAATTAATTAAGTAGTACTAGTTTTATTGATTCCATTTTTAATCCTGTTTTGTTTAACTTCATTATGAAATTTCGATAAATTGGTTTAGGTTTGAACTATTGCAACTCTTTATAATTTATTATCGTCTTATTACTTTCCATTAGTCGAAAACTTTTTTTATTCCCATATGTGCAAAAATAGTACGTCTTGGTAAAATTCCAGTTTAATTGTTTCTCAAGATTTTTTATTCACCAGGTTTTGACTTTTAGTCTAAATGGGCATTGTCATTGCATAACTGGTTACAGAGCAATGCTATGCCAGTCCCTCTCGTCAAATTGATAATGACCTTGGTGTCATCGGATCCACTTCGTTGCTACTTATATCTTTTTAGTAGCTCTAGTTTCTTTTATTAACCTGTATAAGGATGTTGTAACTTCGCTAACAATTTGACCTTGTCCTTGTTTATTCCTTTGTAACCAAGTCAGTCAATTTTGTTAGTCCTGTACCACTGACGCACTATTTAGGTGCCACATTATGATTCTTCTTATTTTAGTCTGGCGTGAATGCAGTCTCCTGGGCACCTGCTATCAACGCGGATTTTATCTTGAATCCCTCACTTAGTGAAACAGCCTCCGGTCTCGTAAAGCGTCTTGTTTCCGGTGGATGTGATTCCCTTATCAAAATTTGGCGGTTAGTCGAGTGATCAATACATTTGACTTTCATGATCTTAGTGGTATGATCTAATCTACGTCTGCTGGTTTTTGCTGAGAATTCACGTTTCTTCTTATTTAGACACTATGCGCGTCTCCAGTCTCCCTACCCTTTTCTGCACCAAAGTCGATCTTTGGCTTTCCGCGCCTTATTATGGTTTATCAGGGTTCTACGAGCCACTGCATTAAACCGACTCATTTCTGCTTATCAGTAGTATTTACACTGTCTTATCTTTTTTTCTTTGGGCGCTCAAGTTTTGCAGTTTTTTTGCAAATCCCGTCTTTAACAGTGGTATTTATGGCCGTATAGATGCCTGCCTATAGTTAGATCTTGGCATACTGCAGTCGTTTTTTTTGGTGTGTAATTCTTCACTCTCTGGGTCAAAATTGAATTGCACTCTTTGGTGACCTAGTGTGTTCATTTGTGTTCTACGAGGTGTTATAATAATCCAACTGGTATTCTCATTTCCCTTTTAGTCGTATTTGTGCAGTTTTTGATTAGAGATCACTTCTCTCAGCTGGGCCTTTCCAGAGTTCAAAATTAAGTGGACACTTCAATTTACTCATGATACATCTATCCATTTCACGGTTATTCTATTCGGCTGAGTCACTGTTCCTCACCCCTTGATTAGCCGCCATATTCTCCCAAGATCAAAGCTAAGTATCAGCAAATGTTCAAGTGTGAGATTATTCAACCCTTGTAACACCATTCTATTCATAATTGTCGTGTATTTCTCCACTGACCTCTTGCTTTGTGGCTGTTTCTTGCCATATTTTTAATGTGCCCCCCTTCAATTTAACCACTTCTTGTATCCCAACTTCCGATCATCGTCGTTTTCCAAGTAGATTCAATTAGTGGAAATTGATGGCATACTTCTTTACTCATACTCCATTGTTAGTGTCTCAATATGCGCTTTAAAGGCAAATTAATTGCATCCTTTTTAGGGAGGATGCACACAGTGGGAATTGGGTTAAGGAATGCCAACCTGAAGGAGGCCATACAGATTGGATTCGCGATGTTGCCTGGTGTCCGTCTTTATCCCTAGCACGTCAGCAAATCGCCTCCTGTGGTCAAGATGGTCGTGTCATCGTTTGGCAGATTCTGCGACAGCCTCCGCATCCATATCAACAGGCTGTTGAGGGAGGAATTCCTGCAACTGGCCTCCTCATGGATGGTTCCGGCGCTTCAAGCGAAATCTGGAAACCTGTTGTCCTTGCAGCGTACCCAGATGTCGTGTGGCATGTCTCCTGGTCTCTTACTGGCAACATCCTGGCTGTGTCTGGAGGTGATAACAAGGTTCGTTGAAGCAAGAGTGTTGACGAGTGATATGAGTCGATGGCGTTAGGGCAAATATTTGCAAGTTTTGGAATTCATTAGTCCGTATCTATTGATTTGAAGTATCGCACGACGGCACCGAAATTTTAGAGATTGGTTAAATTTCGGTTCTCTAATTCATCACCTTCCAATCACTCTGAGTTTTGTCAGCTTTGAAGGGACCAAATTCGTGATTCATATTACAACGACCAAGTAGATGACTGAATAGTGAGACTATTCCTCTTCTACAAAATTATACCTATATCACACTTGCATCTGCCCAATATGCAGGTATCTTTAAGGTTGCTTTATTCTTTTCAAGATCTAACACGATTTTCTAAAATTTTATAAATTCACAGCATTCGAAGTAGTTAGTATTGGGGACCATGCCTCAAGTTCATCTAACTTTTAGCCTCTGGTAGGTATCCACTGGTAGCTTAACATCCTGGTTTCTAACTGACACCATTTTCTGGTTTGATTGAATCTTTTGAAGATATCCAATGCGTCTATTAATCGGCCTTTGTCTGCTCATTTAAGATGTTCCTTTAACAAATTCCTTAGACTGGAATGTGTGTAGCACATCATGACGTCTTGTTATAGATTGATGATGATGGTGGTGTAGTGGCACTTTGTGCGTGTATTCCTCTTTGATGTGCCGTCACCGCTTTTATATAAGTGAATGCACTATCTCTTATCTAGGGGCGGGACAGTAGGGCAATCTTAATGACCCATTAGGGAAATTCGTCATCCACTCCTCGTGTGACTGATGAAATGTCCCAAGTTGTCTAGACTCATCAGTTGGTTGTCGCCTGCCGGCATGCCTTTAAACGAGTCTCTTTCTTTTTGGTGGTCTTAACAAGCCTATCGTGACTTGAGAAGATTATCATCTAAGTTAACATTTCGAAACAACATTTTAATCGTGAAATAGTTGTGATTTCATCCCTTTAAAAGAAATCCTATAATGCTGCCTGCACGTTCTGTCACCTTTACCACGTTAAATATTCAATTTTCCACGGTGTCTTTTTTTCTACCTGGATTCCTCATTACGTTTTCACATTTATCGCCATCTCGTCTAGCGTTTTTGCCTTAACGTTTTTTTGCACCTTACAGACGAGATTTAATTATACACGTGTGTTTAACATGGCGCTTTGGAATTGTTTTTTTTTCTTTTACGCTTTCACCTTCACAAATCGGCGTATAATTTTGCCAACTAATTATCGATTAGTTTATTTTCAGTGGTTCAGTTAGTTGACTATTAAAGTGTGCTCGCGCTGCCCCAAGTTTATTCTCGATTGATTTGCGCTTTCGAGGCCGCGTAAGCTTGCAGCAAAAAGTACAAATTGAGTTATTGATTTCCGATTTTCGGCTTTGAGTGCATTGATAACCAAGTGAGCTATTAAGAGCATTCAACGTAAAGTAGTGGAAGTAATCCGTTTTGCGTGGCCTATTACATATCGATTTTTCTTCAGCTGGAGTTATTCCACCCATTGCTTTGTGTCATTGCTTTTGCTTTGCAAATGAGATTTAATCGTGTACTCGTTTTTTTAAAAAAAAGTAGAGAAATTTAAATTCACAGCCGATTTTTTTGCGCTGGCAATCCAATTGACTTCTTGGTGTGTCAAATTACAGATTTTGTTATCGATTACTTTATGCTAATTCAATTGTGTGTTGGCTGAAAGTGTGGAAATTTAATTACTGATTTCATGGTGAGAGACTTTGTTGTCGAAATACTCACAATTGTAATTAAAATTTTTATTCCCCCACACTTTCTCACTTTAACGAATACACCCTGGGGGGCATATCCTCACCAAATTGGTGACATCTCTCCCCTTATTTTATGAAATATGCAAGAACCTGATGAATGGTTTTGGCGCAGCTGATATGTGCCCTAATCAGTTAGGTTAGTCAAGCCCCTACTGGAGCTTTTTCTGCATCAACCGTTTAGTGACAGCTTCTTGCTACTTCTACTGGGGGATCGGCAGCAAGGTCGTGTCGAATTTCAACTCCGGAGAGAAAGAGATTGAAGGTCGTTTCACCTTTTTGTAAAAATTTGTACTTCATTTTTCCTCCCTCCAAGGTGTCTTATTCGACTACTGACGTTACTAATTCACTACTTTTTGCCTTGACATCAGTGTGGACTGTCGGTCTTGTATTTTTTACTCACGTAGCTGCCTGCCTCATACTCATCATTTCATCTTTTTGTTGGGCTCTGACTTCTTTTACTTAACTTGGAAGGTTTCTAACCCGAGCTGGCCTGGATTTACTTGATGTCGTTTATTACCAAAGAATAGGTAAGAAGTGGTCTCTTGGGCACTTTGAAAAGAAAATGTGGAATTAAGAAATAGCGTTATTCATGACAAATTAACCGTTATTCCCATAAGCACAAATCAACTATTTGAGGCACTAGAGCCCAAATGTCCATTAATCAGGTCTTGATCTCGTTAATGCTGACCATTTCATCACATGACGAAGATGTTTAACTCCCCTTGCCTATCCCATGTGGCCAAAATCTGGTTCGATCTTTCCTGTCGCGACACCGATGTTCTCATCTCTGGTTATTTTCTTTGTTTAACACACAATGCCTATCTTGTGCACGCACTTTCATCTATTTCATAGTAAGTTTTGAAAATCGGAATCGCAATTTTGAATCTATTCTAGTTCTTAACATAACCCAACCTCATCAAATTTCACTTTACTCGATTAGGTTATGAAACTTGGTAAACGTTTCAAATTCTCACCTTCTCATTTTCGTTTTATTACTCTCTGAGGTTAGGCCAAGAGGGCTAGTGGATTTATTCTCATGCTTAGGTTGATGCTGGCTTAGAGGGGGGGGGGGGTCTAGGTTAAGTCCAGGGCTTCCAGCCCACTGATTTTAAGAGAAAATTACTTCTAACCCCTGGATAGTGTGCCAACACTGTTCTTCAGGCATTATCTTGTGGCGTCTCCAAACCTGGTGATTGGCTCAAATTAAATGTCATCTCGTTTTTCGCTGTCCCAATTTTTGTGACACAGCTATTATGTGGGTTATCATTGCTCTTGACAAATAGAGAAAAAAAATGTGGATGACAAACTCATTGGGTGGTCTTCAACTTAGTGGCTGGATGAGATCTGATGATGGCCTGAACTTATGCTCAGCCCCGGATTCTACCTACCTGCTCGCTTATATCGGTGGTTCTCTTGCGCGCCTCCCAACTGTTCATTGGTTCTCCCAATGTCACAACTGTGTCCTTGATGGGGCTCATGAAACCGCATAGTCGTAAGAAGAAAGAGTTCATTGAATGTCCCGTTTTCTGCCTCCAGTCATTTTCAACAAATGTTGGGCGTGTCATATAGGCATTAAATGATTTATACTAGTTAAAAAAACTCACAAAGGATTCGAGGAGAATAAACACCCTTGACATGTTTCATTCTGTTTTGTTTTTGATCGGTGGTTTTACCTCGCATTTGTATTTTTCTAGACACTTGATAGAAATAGAGGGAGAGTTGTTTTCGCGTAGTTTATGTTTTAAAAAGAGGTTTGTTTACATGTTGTTCTTGTTCGTATTCTGGCATGTCGAACGTCGTAAAGGTTTTAAATGTGCAATATTTACTTCATGGGGCCTACCGGTAGCTTTCAATTCAAACTATGCATCACAGAAATGTTTCTTTTCAGCATCCGGCTTTATTGTTTTAACTTTCTGGGTTTGCTTGCGGGGAAGATCTATTGAAATAATTTTTTTCAAAGTCCACAGCTCCATATACACACTGTTGTAGATTTATCGATTAGAAATTCTCATTCAATGCGTTAATTGGTATTGAGAACCCCTATGATCTGTAACTTTGAGGGGTGTGTTCATTGGTCTATGGATATTTGGCTCACTCCAGCTCCGACATTTTGCGATAATGTAACGTCAGTTTTATAGTTGTTAATAAGATAGAATGTGCCCAATCACACGAACGCTGTAAAGTCTTCAATATGTTTCTTTTCAATAAGAGGAGGTTGTATTAAACAAGGAATATTTAATTCACTCTTCTTGATATGCATCCTCTGTTGCGAGATTCTTTCACCAAGATCAACATTTTGATGAAGCCACAATATCATGTTATTGTCGTGTTTTATATTGCGTTTCATTTGATAGCAGTAAGCTAATTCAAACTTTCCTTTACTAAGGAAACACATTATGATTTCTAGTTACAGTACATAGAACTACAAATTCCGGTTGTTGAATTCGAACATAACCGCGTTTCTCAATTGTATATATTACTCAGTGGCACGTACCTAATCACTCAGAAAACATGAATGCTTTCTCTCAACCTTGGGATAATCGACCTTGAGGAAGTATCTACTTCATCTACAGCAGTTGTTTATCAATTCTCACCAAACTCTAGTTGCTATGGCCTTGAGTCACGTAGCCTCCTCTCTCTCCATTCCCTTTCATGAATTCAGTATTTTTTTCACCGGTGTTTCTCCTCCTCCTCCTCATTCGACAAATTAGATTACTAACTCCCTCGCTTTCGTTTTGTGTCTGACAAACTCGTTGTGGCCACTCACCGAACAAGAGTTAAAAAAGTCAGTTGAAGTGGGGAGGGGGTGTGTGTGTGCTGACACTGCTTTTCCAAGCGACGCAAGCACCGGCTGATGGCTTGTCTTTTTCTCACAATTCTTCTTTGCCCCCCCCCCCCCCCCCCCCCCCCCTCCTCCTCCTCTGACCTATGTACTTTTCCACGATGCACGCTTTTTTACTCATCTTTCAAGGTCTCTATCTCCTGATGACTCCTACTTCCGGTCCACTCTTTTTGTAGTCATCTTTCTTCTTGGCTTTCTCTTTCTGCTCTGCTACTGACCTTGTTCACGCCACCCGACGCACGATCTGGTTTTGGACATGCATTTTCGTGGATGCAGAAATGATTATATACTTGATTGCGTTTTACTTTAGCACGTGGGTGGGTGGGGGGGTGTGTATTCGGGCAGAAAGAGTGAAGAAAGGTAAACATCCATTGAAAGGTGTGTCACTGGCTTTCATTTGAAGGATAACTTTTTACCCCAGCACTACTGCTTGGATTGCAATAATTTCTACTAATAGCACTAAAGAATAGCGTGTCCTCTATTCAACGAATTTAAATGCTTAAGGAGCGAAGAGTAGTCTGTTTTCTTCAAATCTTACCAATCATTTTCGAAACGGCAATATATATTCTTAATCTCTATCATCGTTTTACAGGACATCCTATGTACAATCTAACTGTTATTGACATATAATCCTGCTTTAAAAGTATTCGTTTGGCAATTGTCTGGTGGACTGAAGGGAGTAGAATTTGTCGATAATTTCTGCTAATTTGCAGAATCTTTGCTCTATTTCCCAGGAATGTATCTTTGCTCTTCCAGGAGATATCCATTTGTGTTGGAACGATCCGGGAAAATTTTGCAGAAATTGGCGTACTTATCTGAGTCATTATTGTCCACTAATTTATTGTTAAGCTATGACCATAAGACGCGCCATCTCTTGCTAAAATTCTCAAAAGTATTTTAGTTTTTTTTTCATGTATTCCTAGAGGTAATTCGTTTCCTACCTAATTACATTTAATATTCGTCGTGTCAAATGGAGCGCTTTCACTTTTACAGCGAGACTTGTAATCTTGGCACATAATGTGATTAACCACATATCTTCTTTTAGATAGGTTGGAGCTAAGAATAAATCCAGGGCTTTTTAATTTAACCATTATGAAATTTTAGGGGAAAAAAGGCGACGCAATTTCTCCACTTTAGTGGATTATTGACATGCCGCGCGGAAATTTTCTTTTTTTAGAAATAAAATAAGAAAACAGAAAGCAACTACCCTAGATCATTAGAATAGGTATTGAAACGCTCTACCAGGAAAAAAGATGTTGTTTTGACGGGAATTAATCAGTACGATTGGCCTTCTAAATCAGCGGATACGACGTGATTAGTTTCGAATTCGTGTTCTCTGACTTGATATTGGCGTATACCACTTTACTTTTTATTTAATTTCTGCGTCTCAAATCGATAATATGTAATATTAATTCAACTTTAGTACTATTGATGCAAATCCAATTATTTGAACCATCACGATCGACTATGACAGTTTTGTTCACTTTTGTGTAGTTACTTAATAAGTAGCTCTTGTTATAAATTCTCTCATCGTGATGATTTATGCCATCTCCCTACCCACTGCTGGCTGCCACGAGGTGTTTGAGTCTTAACCTCACTCATTCACTTACTCATTTCTACGCACGTATCTAACTGTGTGTGTGTGTGTGAATTGACTCAACCACCACAGAGAAGTGTGTCACAAAATAAAAAGTACACAGTAGCTGCCATGCAGAGAGTAGTAGTAGTAGTTTTCTCTTACTCAAAATGACCTCCTGTGCAGAGTCTCTAGGTTGAGTTCTCTCTCGCTCTGCGACAACACACTACTAATAGCAGTAGCAACTTTCTTAAATGCAATTAGCACTTGGCACAACGCAAGGGTTTTCTTGTCTACTTGCTCTAATTCTTCACGAAGGAATGACTGGCACATGCATAACCTCCTCTTTTGTTGTGTCTTAATTTGATCATCAATTATGTGTGTGTGAGAGAGAGTAGAATTTCATTTACAATGCACTCTACTTTCGATATATATATATATATATATATCCTCGATGGAATTAAGGAAATTTTGTTTTTTTTGCGCTTTAGATGTCTTTTAATGGACCATTTCCCAGGGGCTTCTATTGGAATTTGAGGAGATAGGCTCCAAATGTTACTTATTCGGAGGTTGTTAGTAGCACTTTTCTTAAAATATGTGGTTTAACTGACACACTTTTGGCATCTGCAGGCTTGTTCTAATACAATTATCAGGATCAATGTTGGAGCAAACAGCCGGGGGTCTTGTTCTCTCTCTCTCTCTCTCTCTCTTTGTCTCAGATGCGTGCGAAGGCAAAATGTTGCGTGTAATTCAATTTACTTTTCCAATGTTTCTCCTCCCCACCCTCCCACCCCCGCCTTTCGGAATCAGCACTGTTCCATTTATTTTTTTGGTCTCTCGTATAGGTGGTTGATGTTTGTTATTGAGGTTTGGAGTGTATTCTGTATATTGACTTGCGTGGGGATGCTAGTACTATGCAATCTACTAAATGTGTGTTCTCTCTGGGATATTCCGAATTTTATATGTAATGCCAAATACAGTAACCTCTCTTCATCTCTTCGAGTAACCGTTTTCTTCATGTCGTTTCAGGTTACGCTCTGGAAGGAAAATCTCGAGGGCGTCTGGGTGACCTTGAGTGAGATTGCGCGTGGTCGTCAAAACACAACCGCCACAGCCGACTCTTCCGTTTCGCTGGGTGGAGGTGTAGGTAGCTATGGAGTACCACTAACAGCCCCCACTTCCGCGACAACTACACCTGCGACTATGGAACATTCTCAACCCCCAGTGACTTCAACTCGAGATTCGATGTTCAATCGGGCTTCCATGCAGCAATCGAATCCCGTCTATGACCATTCCGCTATGAACTCTAATGTCGTCTCCTTGGCCCCTTGAAAATGATCCCCGCCCTCTTGTCCTCTCTCCACCTTGTCTTTTTGCTTCCCCGTCTTCTATGTTTGTGTAATTCTCCTCGAAAATATAGTAAATCATTTTGTTGAGTTTGTCTTTTTGATTGCCATTATGATCCTTGAGATAATCGAAGCTACTTGATTCGTGTGAACTGTAGTTCGAGGGCGGTTGATTGGAAACTTGTATTGCCTGGTGGATGTTATTCACAGAGTCGTTTTCGAAATCGAATGAGTTCTAATGCACTTGAAAGCGCTTTAGTCGGAGGTTCCTGGAAATGAATGATTAAACGTATTTGATTATGAGTGAACAATTGATTCTGGATGCACTAATTTGTTCAATTTCTCCTGAAAAGTATGTCTCACTGGTGTAGTTGGAAAAGCATCCGCATAAAAAGAACAATAGACTGATTCAATAGTGGTTGAAACGGGGTAAATAGAATTAACGTGAGGAAGGCTATAAAGCTGAGATATCATAATTCAGGTGCCCATTTCCAACTCTTGCCTCGGATAGAGAGCGGCGTCTCGGGGCTTTCCTGTTGACAGACTCGAATTCTGTGACCTAGCATGGTTTGTCATTCCATTCACTGGGCATTATCATGAGCCGCACATAATTTTATTTCGGGAGTACTGAGTTTCCGTTTTCCCAGAAATTAGCTTAATCTTCCTAATTTGACTCCCGGTTGCAGTTGTGGGACGATTGATTTGACTCTTTGGTTGGTCAGATGATCTCAATAAATTGACATCATTTACAGATAAGACTAACAACGATGTTCGCTGCCAAAATGGAGAAAAATGGTAACGAAGGCCTTTAATGAACAAACACGCTACTCAGTAGACGCAAAATCACTACTGTCCTAGCTGAGTAGGACAGTAAATATAATTATCCGCGACGTTTAGTCAGTCTGTTTCATTATAGCAATAGTCGGCCCAGATAAAACGTTTTTTCCAAAAAACGCTCCGTTTGTCTTGCCTCCAGACTCCTATGATTTACTAAATATATGGGACAGAAAACAACCACAAAAATAGCACAAGGCCCAGGTGGATCAAGACTACTTACTTCCTTATTAAAATTCAAATAAAAGGAATTGCAATTTCTTGTCAATTTAATATTGCAGCTTAGTTACTTCTACTAGGCTACTAAAATTGAAATCTGCCTAAATGTTTAATTTATTTTTTACTTCAAAACAGTAAATTATCGGCATTATTGCTCAAAAATTAGTATTGACTTCACGGGTTAAAAATAAACGAACAAAGTTTGGGCCGCCAATTATTGGGTTGGCAACTAAGTCATTGCCGTTTTTGTTGACAGATTCACTCTATACTTTCTTTTGTTTTGTTAACGTGGCCAGAGCATCTAACCTATATTTTTTTCTTACTGTATGGGCTTCTAGGTTAATTAGTAAAAATTTTTTTGTTTAGTTCTTTAGTTTTGTTTTTATCCCAATTTAAAAATGAAAGAACAGGACGTGCACTTCCGACACATTTTATTGTATTACTTCCGAAAAGGCAAGAACGCATCGCAAGCACAAAAGAAGTTATGTGCCGTATATGGAGATGAAGCCTTAAAAGAAAGGCAGTGTCGAAATTGGTTTGAAAGATTTCGTTCCGGTGATTTTTCACTGAAAAATTCACAACGATCTGGCCGCCCAGTCGAAGTGGATGAAACCCATATCAAGGCCATTATCGATTCAAATCGTCACAGCACAACACGAGATATTGCAGAGAAGCTCAATGTGTCGCATACATGCATTGAAAAAATATTTTTAAAACCCTTGGTTATGTCAAGAAACTTGATTTATAGATCCCTCACCAGTTAAAGGAAATTCATTTGACGCAACGGATTAGCATCTGTGATTCGCCGCTACTGAAACGCAATGAGAATGATCCATTTCTGAAGAACCTAGTTACTTACTGGCGACGAAAAGTGGATAGTTTATAACAATGTTACTCGCAAGAGATCATGGGTGAAGCAAGATCAACCAACTCAAACAGTATCAAAAGCAGAGATTCACCTAAAAAAGACTATGCTGTCAGTCTGGTGGGATCACAAAGGAATTTTGTATTTTGAACTCATGCCGCAGAACCAAACGATAAATTCAAATGTGTATGTTGAAGAACTAGAAAAACTGAAGGATGCAATTGAAGATAAGTGGCCGGCATTATCAAATCGGAAGGGTGTTGTTTTCCATCATGATAACGCAAGGCCCCCCCACACATCTTTGGTTACTCGGCAAAAATTATTGGAACTGGGTTGGGATGTTTTATCACACCCACCATATAGCCCTGACCTTGCGCCCTCGGATTATTATTTGTTTCGTTCCATGCAAAACTCTTTAAGTGGTAAAATTTTTAACGCGGATGATGTCGGATCACACCTAATTCAGTTTTTTAATAGCAAAGACCAGACATTTTACGAACGGGGAATTTTTACTCTGCCAGAACGATGGAAAAAGGTCATCGACAAGAACGGCCAATATCTAATTGAATAAAGTTATATTTTTAAACAAAAATTCCGAATTTGCCTTCTTATTTGAAATCGGCAATGACTTAGTTGCCAACCTAATAGAATTGGGGTTGGGGAAAAATCGATACCAAATGACTCGGGCGTCAGGTGTTTAAAGCGAAGACTTAAACAGCTGCATTAACGATAACAATGTGCTTAAGAGCCTATTCAGGAGATAGGTTTCCAAGCTCAAAAACCCTCCAGATGCGAAAAACGAAGGTGTAGAAATACAAGAGCCAAATAGCACTCTGTCACTGCAAGAACTCCTCCTAGGAATTTATTTATTTCAAATGGCAGGCGTTTTGATAGTTATCATTAGCCATTTAGCAGACTTCGGGCTTCACAGTGGGGAGGAAAATCATAGTGAGAAAATTCGAGAGGAGGAAAGAAGAGTGATTCACAGATGTAAAGAGATAGATGGCCACAAATGCAGAGAAAAGGTAAGATGAGTACTGTTGAAGTGGTCGAATTTAACATACAGTGGGGTCATGGTAGTTTGAAGCCAGAAGTCAACTGCCAGTTAATAGATTTTTTTACCGTAGGAGTATGCGTTGCCTAGGTTGCACCACGTGGAGGTAAGTCTATCGCACACCCCCTTCCTAGGAATTTACTACTTTGCAGAAATGATGTGCATAATGAGTTGAATTACTGAAAATCGTCATATTTGTTCGAAAACGCGGAGTATTGCAACGAGGGTGATACTTTTTTGGCTCAAAGTATTCTATTTGGAATGCTTTTAACTAATTTGTCAGCTGTCCAAAATGAAATGCGAAAGTAACTGAACGGCTCTCCCTAATTAGTGCCTCGATTTGACCAATGCCAATATCTAGCTCCATGGGCTATCGAGGCGACGTTTTTGAACATGTGATTAAAACAGGGCACGAACAATATCAGATTTAAAAAGGGTGGGGACAAATCGGATTTCAGGTTAAGAGGTGCCTACAGGTTTAATGGTGAATTATAAACGCGAATTAAGTCCATTTTTTTGCAATATTTAAGATGTATGGGTTAATACCCATTCGACAGGAGAATGTTAATTACCTTGTTTTAAAAGGATAAGAAACTGTTTAAGCCTAACCATCGATTTGGTCAATTAGTCAGTTATCCTCCAAAAGCACCAAATTTGCCAAAAAAGGAAGCAGAATATATAATGTCCAGCTCAATCATTAAACCATTTAAATTTGAGTACACAAATTCAATAGTTAATTCGTTACTATACGCTCCCTTTAAATTACTTTGAACTGTGTTATGGTGATAGTGTAATGCTCTTAAAGGAATGCCAGAATTTCTTGTTTAAAAGTGTTTCTTTTTTTGGTACGTCTTAACCATATTTTGCTCTTTATCACGATTTGCCTGTTTGGCCTTCGTTATGTCTTCTTGTGATCATTGAATTATGTCGATTAGCAGGCCAATTGTGGAAAACTTTCGTATGGCACCTCCTTTGTGAATGCCTAAAAGCAATCCCCAAATTCTTTTGCATGCCATTTATCTCTGATTCAGTCCAACACGCGCGCACATGCGCGCACACACGCACCCATATGCCACCAAACCACCCAAAATTCGAAATCATTTTAGGAGGGAATTTCACAAATCCACCTCACTTTCAATAGGTGCTCTGACCCAGAATGACTCCCAATTTGGGCCAAGTTGTCACAAAGCCCTTACCACAGTGCCCTGACACATGGACCGCAAAATCATATCGTCCCCCAAAAAGTGTTGCATACAAATGAACGCCCAATCGGTAGAAGAAATGTGGACTAATAATATTAATTCCCCACCCCAAAGGTACATACAACTAAAGAATATTAATGCTGTCGATTTACAAGCACTGTTTGAGGAGATTTACAATGGAAAACGTTTTAGATCAACTTGTCCATTATCTCCGTGAATGCAATCTTGCCAAAAGGTTAAAAAGGTTGACATTGAAATTAGTTTCTCCATAAACTGTTTCGCTGTAAACTCTTTCCCACTCAAATCAGATCACAATTCTTCCCTTGCCGTCCAACACCATAAGACAGTCATTCTTTTCAAAGCCACTTTTAATAAAATTTCTTTCATATATTGCTAATTTATATTCTGTGTCTGGGGTATGAAATAGACTTACCTCCACGTGGTGCATCCTCAGCAACATATATTCATTCGACAAAAAAGTCTATAAACCGGCAGTTGACTTCTGAATTCAAACTACCATGACCCCACTGTATGTCATATTCAATCCCTTCCACAGTACTCGTCTTAACTTTACGCTGCCTTTGTGTCTGCCTGTCTCTTTTACATTCTTAACCCACTCTTCTGTTCCCCCCTCCCCCCCCCCTCCTCGACTGTTTTTCCACTTTGTCTGTTCCTCCCCTCCATGAAGTCCTAAGTCAACTAAAGTGCTTATGATAACCATCAAGACGCCTACCATTTGATATAAATAAACATTCTGTGCCTGAATTTTCATAAGACCCATTGCTACCTCTATTGAAACAACAGCTCTCGTA